GAGAAAGACATAAACAAGTCTGAATTGAAAAAACTATTTATATGGAAAAGGCAGATATTATGTTTTTACAAGAAACACATCAAAAGAAAGATGGAATAAATGAATGAAAATTATACTGGGCAGATGTATATGAAAAATCATACAGCACATCAAAATCAAGAGATGTTGCAATTATTGTTGCCAAAAGGTGTGAATTTAAAACAAAAGCTATAAAAAGATATCATTTGGGGAGATTTCTTATAATACAAGGTCTGATTTATGGACAAGAGGTGACTTTAGCTAATATATACACACCTAATATAAATCAAAGGGAGTTTTATGATAAGGTGTATAAAGAAATAGAAGAGTTAAAAAGAGGATATGTGATAATGGCGGGTGATTATAATATGGTTATGGATAAAGAAAACGATAAATCCAACCCATCAAAGTTAGATATAAATTATAAAAATACAGATTTAAATCTACAAATAGATTTAAAGAGGTTTGGAGAGAGTTAAATGGGAACCAAAAAAGTTATACATTTTATTCAAATAGACATAAAAATTTTACAAGAATAGATTATATATTTGTAACACCAGAAATATTGTCCAAGATAGTTAATGAGGATATACAAGTAATTAAAATATCAGACCATGCAATGATAACAATGGAAATAAAATGTGATTATAGACAGGCAAATAGATGGAGGATAGATTTAAGGATTTTTAAAAATGAGAAGATTTTAGAAAAAATGGAAAAAGAATTAAAAGAAATATGGGAAATAAATGAAAAATGAAGTAGTTGTACAAGTGTAATATGGGATACAATGAAAGCAGTGGCAAGAGGGCTAGGAATAAAATATTCATATAATTTAAAAAACAAAAAGAGCAATATATAACAAGATTAGAAGGAGAAATTGAAACATTAGAGAAAAATATATTAAAAGTAGAGAAAACAAAATTATGTTGTAATTAACAACTAAAAGAAATACAAATATTGAAATAAAACAAGTTCAAAGAAATCTAATTTACTTGAAAAGATAATTTTATGAAAATAGTAATAAAAATTCCAAAATGCTGGCCAGAGCCACACAAGTCAAAAAAGCAAAAATTTTAATTGGAGAAATAATGAACGAAAAAGAGAAAAGATCTAACAAAATGAAAGAAAAACTTTTAATTTTTCAAAGGTTTTTTGAAAAGCTATATAAGGGAAATGAAATAGATTTGAAATAAAGCCCTATATATATAGAAAAGAATTTAAAGTGTAAAATTTGAGAAGAGGATAAAGAAATTATGGAAACTCGAATAGAAGAAGAAGAGATATTGGAAGTGATTAATAAACTGAAAATAGGTAAAGCACCAGGAACCGATGGATTGGGTGTGGAATATTATAGCAATTGTAAAAAAATTATTAGCCCCTAAGATGAAAATGATGTTTAATAAAGTAATGGAAGGGGAAACAATTCAAAATTCTTGGAGACAATCTCTGATAGTGCTGATAGCAAAACCTAATAAAGATCTTACAAACCCTGGGTCTTATAGATCGATATCTCTTATTAATCGAGATGTTAATATTTTTACAGCGATATTGCTAAATAGATTGAATAAATTTATAGATAAATATATAAAGAATGATCAATGTGGGTTTATAAGAGGTCGATATATGTCAAATGTGGTAAGGAGAGTATTAAATATTAACTATTACATTGAGAAGCAAAATATAAAGGCAAGCACATTAGCGTTAGATATATTTAAAGCCTTTGACTGTGTGGAATGGCCAACAATGAAGATCTTAATAGAGAAGGTGGGATTTGGAATAAAGTTTAAGAAAGTAATAAATCAATTCTATTCAGAAAATACAGCAAAAATAATTGTAAATGATGGTATTACAGAAACAATAACCCTAAGCCGAGGAACAAGGATAATGTTGTCCCTTATTCCCAATATTATTTGCTTGAATGTTGGAAGTATTGGAAAATGCAATTAGGAATGATATACAGATAGAAGGATGAGTATGTCAGAAAATTAAAATTAATTTATTTGCGGATGATACATTGTTAACATTTCAAGATCCAGTAAATACTATAGAGAGAATATATTTACATTTAAAGGAATTTGGGAAGTATAGTGGGTTGCAAGTTAATTGGGAAAAATTGGAAATGATCACATAGTGAAGAATAGGATATATTAAAAATATATAAATTAAAAATAGTAAACAATATTAGATACTTAGGAATTGGTATTCCAAAAGATAGTCAAGAATTAAAGAAGAAAAAATATGAAAAGTTAAAGAAGGATATAAAAGATAAAATAGAAAAATATGAAAAGGTAAAATTTTTATGGTTTGGAAGAATAGCAGTGATAAATATGAAAATTCTGCCAAAGATTAATTTTTTGTTTTGGATGATTCCAATCAAGTTTTATGATCAAGAATTAAAGGAAATGCAGAAATTATTGGAGGTTTATTGTAATGGAGGGAAGAGAGCAAGAATAAGTAAAGCACTATGGTATGAATCATAAAAAAGGAGGGCTGGGCATTCCAGATGTTTAAAAAGTATTGGGTTGCAAACCAATTAAAGATAGTTCCAGATATTATAACCCAAAGCAAAGAACTAATATGGAGTGGTATTGAATTAATAGAACTAAGGGAAATAGGTGATCACTTAGAGATATACTGATTTAAAAAGGATGTTAAAAAGATTATTAAGAGAATTTAAATTCCCTTTTAAAAAAATATGATTGAAGTATGGGAAGAATGGAGACAACAGTTAATCCTGAGAATTTCTCCATTAAAACCAGCGGTCAAAATGGAGAAATTTCCAAAAATAGAATCTAAGAATTGTATTAATAAATTTAAAAATAATCATATATATAAAGGGGAAGACTGGAAAAATGAGATTAAAAATATAGCACAATTAAGGAGTATATTGACAGAGGCTAAATTAAACTGGTTAAATTTAATTCAATTAGAAAAATGGATAAAGATGAAGAATACATTTAAAGAGGAAGAAAGACAATTAACAAAATTTGAAATGATTATGAAAGTATGAGAGATTGAGGAAGAATATACAAGTAAAGGAAGAATTGCTAAAATGTATAGAATATTAATGGAGTTACGGGATCAGACAAAAGTTTAAAATCAATTTGGGAAATGGACATAGGTTAAATAAAAGACAAGGATTGAAAGAATATTTGGAATAGAAAAGTATATAAGAATATGTTGGTTAGAATTAAAGAACATGGATATAAAGTGATATGGAGATGGTATTTAACACCAGTTAAGTTAAATTGATGATAAATATTCTAATATATGTTGGAGATGTGGGAAAGGGATTGGATCTTATAAACATATGTGGTGGAATTGTGATAATATACAAAAGATTTGGATTATGGTGTTTAATAAAATTAGAGAAATTTTAGATATAGATTTAGAAATGCCACCAAGAATTGCGTTATTGCTGCTGATTGAAAAACAAGATATAAATGAAGTTAAGAAAGAATTGATCCTAAGTTTGATAATGGCAGCCAAGTTAGTGATGGTTAAATATTGGAAACAGAATTGGGTTATGCAAAGGCATGAATGGTATAATGAAATATGGAATATGGTAATTAATGATAAACTGACAACAGAAATAAAAACTTTAAAAGAGTTAACAAAAGCAAATAAACATAATGAAATTTGGGAAGATTCTGTAAAAGCACTATTGATAGAAGATAAAGGTTGTAAGTCTAATCAAGATTATATGAATTTTTGGAGGGGATATGGATATAATTGAAGTATATTATATATTAATTGTTATAATATATGAATTAAAATGGAGGTATTATTGGTCTCCTGGGTGGTGGGGGCACTGTATTATTTAGTTGGGCTTTTGTGTGTCATATTATTAATATTGTGATGTTTGTATTTGTTTTTTTTTCCTGTATTTTTTTTTAAAAAGGGATAAAATAAAATAAAAGGTAGATGCAGGGGGTGCGTGCACATGCGTGCGCACATATATCTGATAGAAAGTGGGGGCTATCTGGTGTGACTTGAGCTCCTGCATAATGGAATGAGAAGCTCTATTTTTATAAATGCCTTTGAAAGGAGACTTTTCAAAATTCACCTTCTGTCAGACACCAAAAACACCCTGCAGACATACAAGGTTTATATGCAGAAAAGGCGAAGTTGTGAATAAAAAATAATAATTCTGAAGTGTCTAAACCCCTAAGCCTCACTTAAGAAACTCATATTTGGAAGAGGAAATGCAACCATGGAGGCTCAAGGACAAAAGCAAAAGACAAAGACATTCTTCTGTGATTGCTAGACTTCCACAGTCTTTCCAGGCGGAGGAGGCGATCCAGTCACTACTCTCAGCTTTGCCAATAACTCATTTGCTTTGCAGTGTCTAGAATAGTATCGCAGGCTTTAGTGAACAAATCATGCAGTATCATAGCAGAGAAAGAACTTGGGTCTGGTAGCATATTTAGTTATTTATTTATTAAATTTAAGAGCCATGAAGTTTTTCCAGAGCTGTAGCCAGGCCGACCTGCAACTCCCAGCAAAATCCTGTGTGGTTTGGTCACATACACACATGCCAGGCTCTGGAAAGTCTGAGGCATGCAGGCAAGCAAGCAAGCGACACTGAGTCATGCTTACAGATTTTATGCTTCCAAATCGTGCTATACCAGATCAACAGGCATTCTAACTCATGCAGCAGATGTCAGTTTGAGATGTCTGCATGAAGGAAACCAGCCCGCAGAAAGTGGCTGGGAGGAAGTACATCTGTGTCACATGGCAGGAAGATGGACCAAGTCTATACATGTTGCTGGGCACAGCCCCAAAAGCCTATGAAAGAGAGGCGCTTAATAAGAAGAGGTTGATTCTGAGGCAGGAGTGTGTGTGTGAGAGAGAGAGAGAGAGGGAGATAGAGAGAATCATAAAATTGTGAAAAGGCTGAGTGAAGGTGAGAACAATGTTGCCCCCCCCCAAAAAAAAGGCAGTGGGTTGCAATATAACTTGCATGCAGAAAGCTACAATACCTGATAAGGAAGTAAGTGCTCATTTTCTCTTACCACAAATCCAGGCAACTGACAGCCTCCATAGACTCAGCCTTCAGGATTCAGCCTCGAAAGGTTTCCTGGCCAAGGCTCAGCCCTGGAACTTGTGGAAGGGTACCTCTCAGCAAACACCAAACACATCTCTGAACCACTGGGCAACCCCAGTCAGTCTTGTTTATATGGCAGGCTATTTCAGTTAAAGCTCCTTAACAAGGCTTCCTGCTCCAGTTTGATTCCATGCAAAAGAGTTAAGTGAGAAGTCTCTTCTGTGTGAGCTCAGTGCATGGAAAGTGATAAAGAACTAAACAGTTATCTTGACTGCGCATATTCAGAGCTATGCAGAGTTCAGAGAGAGTGATGCAGCATTCAGTATATGGTGTAAGCTAACCGAGAGGCTGGGCTGCCACCTGGACAAACAATACACCAAATGGTTTTGGGTGGGCCAGGAAAATGTGGCAGTCAGAGATAACAGAGAAGTGCACACCAGAAGGCACTCACATTCTCTTCTCACTCATGGACATTTGCTCTTAGGGGTATGGGGAAAATAGTACCACTAAGACAGTGGTCTTCAAACTTGAGATACCTAAGGAACCCTTCTCAGTGTGAAAAAGCAGTGAGGAACCCACGCACAAGTAATTTCATGTAATACATTTTATTTGACCAAAATGTTACACTTAATGTTGCAATAATATATTTCATACCATGTAAACAGAAACTATAAATGCATTAATGAACTCATTTATTACCTAGTAACTAAATAATACTAAATGTGCTAAATTCATACTAAATTTTAGTATAAAATCCCCTACAAATAATATGAAAAAATATACTTCATTAAATGACTTGGATGTGCTTGCTTTTTGCCACAAAGAAAATCAGAATTTGATGTTATTGATATTATATTAAGGCTGTGTTATCATTACTCCTTGCAATCTGAATTTACTCAAATGAAACCATTTTGATTTTAACATAAATTACACTGCTTTTCAAGTATGTGTGTAAAGGCTCTAAATTGAATGAAGACCTTACCTCATCACTGACAAGGTTTTGTTTAAATGAAGCAAAGAATGAGGATCTTACAATTTCAGAGAGATAATAGGAGTAAAACTCTGGGTAATTCTCTTGGCACCCTGCAGTTCTAGTGAACGCAGCCACTAAGAGGACAGGAAACATTACTGCAGTAAAAACCACACAACTTGTTCCCTACAGAAGCAAGAACAAAACCAAGCAATCTAACAACTCAAAACCTGACTGATATAGTCATGGGCTCAGTTGCAAGAAGGGCAACCCCAACAAGACACCTTGTAAATGTATGTGCGTGCATATTTCCAGGGATCACTGAACTTCATACTGCACTTAACATTTGGTAGTATCTGCTTCAAAAAAAAGCTAGGGTGCAGCATTGTCCCTCCCTCTCTCTCTTGAAAAGTGGGTGAATGCAGAAAGTGAAGCAGTAGAGGCCAGAGCAGATGCAGGACTAGAAGGAAAAATAAACAATGAGGAGAAAGATAAAAACAAGCAGCACATATCAAAGGAAAGAGAATGCAAAAGTTACAAAAAATTAAAAACACAATGGGGTTCAAATCAATGGAGATACCATCCTCTGCTTGCTTTCCTCTGGTCTTAGGGTTCCAGACTGGATTTGCTTTGTGACTACAACTTCAGGCACACACCTGCAGATCACAGTGAACACGGTGTGTGCACATGCACACACAAATGCAAAAACAAAAACAAACAAAAACAAAACCAACAACAACCATACAAACACTTTCACTTTTTCTGTCCCCCAGAGTCTCATGTGGAGCCTGTTCTGGACATGGATGTGCATTCAAGCATGTAAATAATTTGGTGCACTGCACAAGCGCTACTTTTAGAAAAGCAGCATGTTTGGGTGCCATAGTCTGTAAGGAATGACCCTCTGACAAGCCAAAAGCTATGTCCTCATGCTTGGCTGAGGTAAAAGGAATTACTGTTGAAATCCCTTAAACCTGAAGTATTTTTATTAGGCATTCTCCCTGGCGAGCTTAATAAACAAAGTACATAGTTGATTTTACATGTAATTACCACGGCGAGGATTGTATTTGCACAATAATGGAGGAATGAAGAACCACCGACTGAAGAACTGATTCTAAAAAAGATTTTGGATTGTGCGGAAATGGACAGACTGACTTTGTCTCTGAAGGAGAAGGAAGATACATACTTCTATCAAACCTGGAACTTTTTCTATCATTGGTTAGCAAAATGGGACTATATGTAGAGCTGAAATAGATATCAGTTGTAAAAAGAATAAGATACTAACCCAGTATGGCCGATGTCTCGGGAACAATTGATGTTTTAGTTTAAATTAGTAGAGCAAATAAAAAAATTAAAACACGAGGAATTACTGTTGAAATCCCCGATACAGTGGTACCTCGGCTCACGAATGCCTCAGTTCATGACCAAATCGGGTCGCGAACAGAAATTTAGGAAAAAAAATTCTTCAGGTCACAAACTCCGCATTGGGTGACAATCATGATTGCGCCCGTCTCCCCGCCAAGCGAGCCCGCGATTGCGCCCATATCCCCCCCAAGTGTGCCCGCAGTTGCGCCCATCTCCCCCCTGAGCATGCCCATGATCATACCTGTCTCCACCCGCAAAGCGTGCCCGCGATCGTGCCTGTCTTCCCTGTGATTAAAAAAAATATTTACAGAACAGGTTAACCTTATTTACATTGAACCTTATGGGGAATTTGACTTGGCTCACAACCAATTTGGGTCACGACCAGAGTCATGGAACGGATTAAGTTCGTGAGCCAAGGTACCACTGTATAGGCAGAGTGGTCCCCTCTTTCCCCACCATGTTCCTGAAACATAAGCACAAGGAGGCAGGTGAGCTCCGAGCTGCTTGCACATGTATGTGGACCCGGAGGGCAGAAGAGAGTGTGGGCCCTGAGTGCTGATTGTTCCCTGAGGCTGAAAAGAAACTGTGGTAAAATGAGAGACTGATATGTATTACTTTTGCCATTGCTTAGGTTACACCACCAGTTACCAGTACTGAGCAACTCTAGTCTGTCTCATGTTACAATGAAATTAACATCACAAGCAACCTATGGCAGCTGGGAAAGTCATCTGCAGGCTTCTGAGAATGGCTTTTCAGGGCTGGGGTGTTTACAATAGAATCAAGGCTACTCTTGCAGATTTATCTTCTTATCAAAAGCATGGAGGTATATACCAAAGGACAGGGGCAGGGAAAAGAAAGCATAACCTGATCTTCAAATTTGGACAGACCAAATATTTGTATAGATTAAATATTTGTATGACCAATGCTGACTCTCAAGTGCTTTATGGTGCCACACTGTGGTGATCTGGAGAGATCAGTGCTGCAGAGATTGTCCCAGATAAGCTTCTGCAGGCAAGCTGGGTCTTTCACCAAGAATACCAATGGTAGTCAGGGCAGAGTGTCCTGCACACCAATTCCCCTTTACTGGCATTAGAACTGATAAAACCCAACTGCTCTACTGAGAAAGATTGGCAGGCATGGGACAGTGCTGCTTCCCCTGTGGCAGGCTAAGAAGAACCAGCATTGTGCTTCTGAAAAGAAGGAAAGAGTTAAAGACACCTGCTCATGCTCAAAGACCACATTTAGGATGCCATTTATGGTCTAACTTGGGCATTGCTTTGCAGTACTTCTCTTTTTCTTCTGTTTAAAACAGAATTCAGCAGACAACAGTACTCTGTGATTTGACATTTCCTGCTCTCAGAGTGGCCTTTACAGGCTGAAGGTTTTAAACTATCCCCACAGCAATGGAGATATAAAAGGGTGCCAACTTTACTCTGCCAGTGTAGTTGTAATACAGACAAAATAGAGGACACTGCAGACTGTGCATTATAATGTCCCTCCCCTGTGTGGTAACTGCAGATAGAGAATATTTGAATGTGTTCTTTGTACAAGATATGGCTGGCCAGTGGAAGGAAATTGTAGCTTGCTTGCTGAATGCAACACTTTTATCACACATAGGCTGCGATTATGCACCACATTTGCAGAAAACAACATCAAGAATATTTGGCAGAGATCAGTCCCTTATTTTTCATCCTGAGAAGGAAAGTACGTAATACATCCATTATGGAGGACCCACCGCACCAAGAGCAATGCATATTCATGCAGCAGGATTTTCACACAGGATTGGGCACAGTGGCTGATGAGATACAGGCCAATAGCAGAAATACTGAGTGGGGAGTATGGAAACTACAATAACATGGAAACCACTTGATTAACAAGTGTTAATCGATGATTAACAGGTAGATCATGGTTAAAAAACAACAATAACCATGAACCGTGCAAGGTTGCTTCCTGTATTGTGTGAATGCAGCCATGGGCTCTGTACCTGTCTTGAACCTTAATCTGGAAGTTTCTCTAGCTGAGGAATTTTTGGTGGCAAGCTTAGTCCACTGTCCTAGCATGCATGACCTTAGTCAGTTCCCCAAGATCACTGACTGTGTCCTTGGCACCAAAAGAAACTTAGAAACACATCAATTCAGAGAGTGACACTAGAACATTCTGAATGTGCCTTTAAGAAGGCTGGAAGCCCTATTCTGGCCAAGTTATTTATCAGTTTGATGGCTTGGACAAACCAAGACACCAGTCATTGAGATGAGACAGGAAGCCCCTTTGCTTATCTCCATAGCATAAGAAGAGCCTAGGAGTTTCTAAAAAAGATTATTTCCTAAACTGTGAGGGTTTGTCTAATGATGACAGAATGGAAAACCAAATCCACAGGTGACATGCAAAAGGCAAAGAAAGCAAGTAAGATAATATCCTGGGTCAGATGAAAGGCAGAAACTACCTTCAACAAAAGGAAGTGTGATGTGGTAGTAATGAGGGATTTCTATTACCTGGATATCTGTTGGGAGAGAAAGTGGCCCCTCCGAGAAACTCTTGACATAACTTTTTCTACAGAAAGTGGAGGCAAAAACTGGAGGATCACCTACCCTCAACTTAGTACTGACTAATAGGAATGACTTAGTAGATAATGTGGAAGTTAAGGAAACTCTGGGTGGAAATAACCAAAGCATACTTCCTGAGAAGGAAGCAAAAATGAAGTGCAGCCATATACATACTATGCATTTTGGGAAATCTGATTTTAATAAACTCAGGACAATGTTAAGTAAGCTGTTTCTTCGGTAAGACAATGTTAAGTAAGATCCTGTGGCATGTGACCCTAAGGAAAAAGGGTTCAAGATTGGTGGGAGTTTATAAAAAGATGGAATTTTGAAAGGCACCATTACAAAAAAAATCCAACTTTAACAAAACATAGAAGAAACCAATGTGGCTCCACAGAAAGCTTCAGGCTGACCTCAAATAAACAAACAAATACATTACAGGAAGGGAAAGGAAGACCAGAAAAGAAAAGAAGTGTGCAGACAGTTGGCACCAAAGTGCAGGAATGGCATCAGGAAGATTACAGCTGAGAATGAGCTGAGGCCAGAAAGGGCCACTAGAGGCAACAAAAGGCATTTTTAAGTACATGCACAGTAAATGATAGAAAAGAAATGATGGTTTAACTTCTCAACAGGGAGGACAAATTGATGATAAATGACTATGAAAAGGCAGATGTGCTTAATTCCTACTTTGACTCAGTCTTTTTTCAAAAGCAGGAATATGACCCCCACTGGCAGAAATTAAGTATAAGCCAAAGGGTTGGGGCTGAAACCTGATATTAATAAATAAAGGGTCAAAGAACACTGAATTTCTTTGAATGCTCAAATCTCCAGGGGAAAATGAGTTGCATCGTAGAGGTGTAAAGCAAGTGGCAGAAGAACTCTCAGAACCAATCATGGAGAATGAGAGGAGTGCCAGTTGTCTGGAAGAGGGCTAATGTTGTCCCCATCTTCAACATCAATCCCTGGGAATTTCTGGAGATTAGCAAGCTGTCAGTCTGCAAACTCCTTGAAGACAATGGAGTAGTTACTAGAAACCAGCATGGGTTTATCCAGAACAAAATTTCCCATACTAATCTGATCTCATTTTTTGACTGGGTAACATCCCCTGGCAGACTGTGGGAATGCTGCAGGTATAATATATCTTGACTTCAGTAAAACTTTGACAAAGTGTCCTATGGTATCTTGATTCAAAATTAGTTAAAATGAGCAAGATGAAACAACTATCATGTGGATCCA